CTTGGGTTCTTATTTTTTCCCTTGAGGTCCTCTTGTCTTTAATTAATATTTTCTTGTCGTTTTCCGCGCCTTTTAGTTTATTTATCCCTTTTTCTCTTTTTTTACTTGTTCTTTTCTCTTTTTTTGGGGCTTCTTTTACACTTGATTATTATTATTTCTTTTTTATTGAATATTATTTTCATCATTATCAATTTTTAATTACCATGATGTACTGTCATCTTATATGATTAATGCACATTGTGTTGTCTCTATCATTCTATAATACATCATTCTGTTCTCTATATATTCATTTTTCCTTGTTATCTTTTCCTTCTTGTTTCTCGTCTCTCTCTCTCTCTGTCTTTTTCATCTCTCTCTCTCTCTCTCCTCTCTGCCTCAATACATCAATTAAGCTTGTGTATAATAATACCTTCGTCACTCTCTCTTCTCGCTCTCTCTCTCTCTCTCTCTGTCTCTCTCATCTCATCTCTCTCCTTTCGTCTTGTCTCTTTCTCTTTTCTTTCTACTTTCTCTTTCTCTTCTCTTTCTCTTTTCTTCTTTCTCTTATCTCTTTCTCTTTCTACTTTACTTCGTGTATTCTCCCTATGAAAATCTATCTGCTGGAGCATAGCCACCCCTGCTGATGAATATGTTGGCACAGTGTTTTATGAGTTGAGTTATTAAAGAGACAGTTAGGGCCGAGGGGTTTTTTTAATGCATTTTGCAAATCTTGCTTCATAAAAACTCTCAAATAACATAGCCATTTCTATAACATATAATACCATATACACACATATTGTAAAGTTACATTTTTGTAACTCTATATAAAATAAACGTCATAACGATATACCACAGATAACATATACTATTTTTGTAACTATATAAATAAACGTTAACATATAACTAACAGCAATAACAACTAATAACCATTTATATAATATATAGATAACTGAGTGTACTCTATAGTCGATCGTGAGGTAGGCCCCTCACACCATAATATCCACTATCTCCGAAAAGAATATTAATACAGAATGGGCCAGCTTGTATGCTCACTCACTCGCAGCCACTCAAATAAGACTATGATATTATGGCAACTCATCTTTCATTAGGCCCTGCTAATGATAGACTAACCACCGTATTGCGAATATTCTCAACGCTCGTGAATATATATGATCTGATGATACTCGCTAATGAAATAAGACCATAAGCTCATATCCGTAGACCCCAACCCCCAACCATAAGAAAGACTTCTTCAACCTCGATTTTAAAAGACCTTTCTATCCCTACCCTAGAAAAGACCCCCCCCCCAACTTTTTCCCCCTTCATCTTAAAAAAGGACCCCGAAAAATGCCCCCTCATCTTTAAAAAAGAATCCGAAAAATTCCCCCTCACCCCCCCCCCAAAAGGACCCCGAAAATGCCCCCTCATCCTAGGAAAGACCCCCCCCAACCCTTCCCCCAACCTTAACCCTAACCCTAGAAAAGACCTCCCTATCCCCCTCTTTTACTCTCCCTCTACCCCTTCCCCTCAAACCCCACCTCAGAAAAGACCCACCAACTCCTTTCTAAACCCTTCTACCCCCTTAACCCTTGCCACCCCACCCTAAAAAAGACCCCCCAACCCTCTTTTTCCTCCCCCCTTCCCCTCTGAACCCCCCACCCTTGAAAAAAAGAGAAAAATAGAGAGAGACAGAGAGAGAAAAGCTGTAACAAGACGAGTGAAGACGCTGCCGTCAGTTATGAGATGAACTAACGTGATTACAGACGCTTGGTCGATCCCGTCGAGGGCAGGAAGGGGAGGCGGTGGTGAGGGGAGAGACGTGATGGTGGTGGTGAAGGAGGGGAGGAAGTGGTGAGAGAGGAGGGGAGGAAGCGGGGGAAGAAGGGTGCAAAGGGGAGAGAGAGAGAGAGAGAGGAGGGGAGGAAGTGGGGGAAGAAGGGTGCAAAGAGGAGAGAGAGGAGAGAGGAGGGGGATTAAATTGTGGAAAATGGTGAGGAAGGGGAGAAAGACGGAATGATAGAGGGGGAAGAGAAGCGAAAATGGTGAGAGATGGCGAGAAAATGAACGGAATATGGAGGAAATAGAGAGAGAAAACAAAATGCTGAATGCTGGAAAGGGGGTAAGGAAATGGAGATGAGGGAGTGAAAGAGGAAAATAATATAAGGGAGGAAGTCGAAATGTAGTAAATGAGGAGCAATGCAAGAACGGAGAGATGGATTGATTAAGGAAAGATAAAATAACGAACGCAGCTAAGGAAAACCGTAAGTAAAAGAAGGAGAACAATGATAAACGAAAACATGAGAAATTTAGATCAGCCGAATAAGGGAAGAGCACCGGAAACGAGTAATAACTTAGGAAATCTAGGTTTAATAACTAGGTTTGATAACTAGGTTCAAGCCGGGTGGTGAATGTTTGCAAAGACACTGACATCTCCATATGCTGACGCTCCATGCAACATTTGGTTGATAATCAGATATTGGTGATAATGCTAATGATGACAATACTATTCATAATGAAATCT